TGAGTTCCTCAGTTTGGCTGTAGCATTGACCATGCTGGCGACCTCAGGAAAGCCTGTGTATTACGCTTTCCAGCCCAACTTTCCCATGGGTAAAGTGAAGATTTATATTTCTTAAGGCTATTGAGAATGGCTGGTATTTGCATAGAACCATGAAAATGCCAAGCTTTGAATGTTATTCCTGAATTTGCTTTTAATATTACTGGAAGAACGAGGCTAAATTAGAAAGTAAAAAAACCACCATAACAAAAATATCGCTGTAGATTGTGTTATAAAAGTTGCTTTATTGCTCCTGCAAATAAAAGCATGTTTTACTGATAGCTAAACTCTCCCTGAAGCTTGAAAATGCAACTTTGGTTTTTTTCTGACTACCAGTAAAAAATTTTTCACTGGCTCAGTCTGTTCACCTGTGAAACACGTTCTCCAGTTTCTTGTGCCGTAGGTCTTGTGGCAGTATGGTGCTATTGGGGAATGCTGATAAAATGGACAGATGTGGAATATACACAGATCTTTAAATAACGTGGATCTCTCTCCTCCCACTGCAGCGTTTTTAAATACTGTTGATCTCTCTTCTTCTTTACTCACAGTGCTGCTTCATTTCTTGAATTCCACGTTGTAACTTAAATCTAAATTAGTCTGTCAGCTTATGAAAGCAATATTGGCAACGTGTTTTGCTTCTCTAATACCTTGGTCTTAATGACTGCGGAGACTCGTAGTTGTGACAAAAGCTTTGTTACTGAATAAGCAGGGGTCTTGCTGTGTTTGCATTTTTCTACTTAATCGGAATCATCAGGAATCAAATATGTTCTTTAAGAACAATAGGCCTAACAGCTACACATGAGTTTAAGTAAATGTTTTCAAGATGAGCTAATTTGAATGAAAAATAAAAGTATGTTTAAAACAATAATGTTTGCAAGACATCGGATCAATTCTTATTTATGTGCCGGGATCATAAAAATGTTATGGAAGCTAGCGAGGATGGCTGCAGGGAAGAGCATCTCATCTCCACTTAAGCTTGTTATATTTGGATATTCTTCAAATTCCTGCTATGTTTTACAGCATGAATACACTCTGGACACCTTTTGATGCTTTTTTTGCTTAAATTCTGAGTACTTTTAATAATTAGGTGGCACCTTTTTCCTTTCCTTTCATGAATCCGAAGTCACGAAGCAGAGGAATTTCATTCTGTTTACTGCCAAAATGCTGATACTCTAGGGCTTTTCAGCAATTCATAAAGTGCTACATAGCAAGTTAAAAATGCAGTGAATGCTCTGACCAATTAAAATGTCAGGAAGAATAAAACAAACAGAGTTTAATTATCTAAATTAGCTTACTGAAGATACCAGGGCTATAGCTACGCTTGCAAAACGCGCTATGAAATCCGTAATATTTATTGCTGGATAGGAGGCCTTTTTTTCACATCTGCGAGTCCCTCTGCAGATGCTTACGACAGCAGCACGTGCTGTGTTAGAGGTGAGGCTTTTGATTTGAAGACTTGCCTGTGAAAAGGTCCCTAATGGCGTGGGTTCTTGCTTAGTCTCCATCATCCTCAGGGTTTCCTTAGCATCTCCTGCCCTTAGCCCAGTCCCTGAATAATATGAGGCCTGGCTGCTGGGTGGTATGTCCTTTTTAAACAGCGCTAACAATTAATTCCCTCTCTCTCTTTTAATAGAGGTTCGGATTGCTGCGGTTGAAGCCCTCTGTATGTTGGCTCAGTCCTCGCCTTCTTTTGCGGAGAAATGCCTGGATTTTTTGGTTGACATGTTTAATGATGAAATTGAGGAGGTGAGATTGCAGTCAATACACACAATGAGAAAAATTTCCAACAACATCACGCTGCGGGAAGACCAGCTGGATACTGTGTTAGCCGTCTTGGAGGTAAGAAATTCCTGAGGAGGGAAAAAATGTCATTCC